GAATAAGAGGTAAGTAGTACTTTCTATTTCTCCTGATTACTGAGATAATTCAGGAAGACAGCCAATGAATAGAGCGAGTGCCCCCAAAAGTCAGCAGTTGTTCTATATTTCACACAAATAACTCATTTGAAAGTCGTGGAAAAGATGCATTCACAATAGTGTATATAATGATAAATATATACCGTTCACATGTAACAAGTTTAGTTTGGAGGGGAGGCTTGCACAATGGAAAGACACACCTGACAAGGTCAAGGGCCCTGTCTGCTTACATGTATCCATACACTGAATGCAAGCAGGATAAAGGCCAATAGAATTTTCTTGGGAGCTAAAACATCAATTCAAAACTTCATCCAGAAAAACAGAACTTATGAAAAGAGTCAAAACCTTTTTGAAAAAATAGCAGAAATTAGGTAGGCAGCAGAAAGGAAAACAATGTCCAGTTTGAAAGCTGACTCCAGAGTTCTGGGAGTTTTCTATTAGTCATGAATAGACAACAGAAGTGAACAAAATAATCCTGAAATGCACCCAGTGGATGCTATTATCATGTACTAACCTACATTCCAAATCAAAATAGATTTTTTCCACTCGTAATAAATGGAGACAACTAGACAGAGAGAAAATACAGAGTTGTTTGTTGTCTTATTCCTACAATAAAAATGAATTGGAGATAAATCAAAAACTGAAACACAATCCAATGAAAATCCAAGCAAAAGCATGAAATCATTTTTAAAATGTTGGCATTGGATTCAAGATAGACATAAAATCTAAAATTAGTGAAGTGCTGGTAGTTTGAATACACTAATTTTTCTTAAATTAAAAAAAACACACTGTCTTAGATAAAAGGCATCAAAGTGACAACATAATCTGGGTAACGTGTGAAATATACGGATAGACAAAGGAATGCTTAGAACTCAAAAACCAAATACAAGCCTTTAAAAACACAGCGCAAGCTCATGAAGCAAGAACAGAGTGCATGGCCACAAGGTTTGCAGTAAGATAAACAGGTTACTTAAAATTTGTGAAAGATGTTGAGCTCTAATTATAACTTTTTTAATGCAAATTTCAGGGAGAAGACTCTTTCCCCATTAGTGCAAAATGTAATGTTTATTGTGCAAGTGTCTGATGCAGGTTCACAAAGGTGTGTCTACTGATGCCTAACACGCTCAAGATGTTTACTCCTGACCGGTGTTTCTACTAACAACTGGTCCTGTGTAAACATATCAGCTCACTACAGTGCATCACAAATGTCATGGAGAGCCTTCATTAGGGATTTGGGCTCTTGGGTCATGTTTGGCTCAAACCCACTTGGTCATACTCTTTGTGACCTGGAATAGCAACTAACTCTGTGTCTAGCGTTGTACCTGAAAAGTAGCAATACAAATATCTCCCAATGACTGCCCTTGCACAAGGTCTCGGGTATCAGCCATTTATGTTCATCACCACCCAAACTAATATAAGAGCCTAGGAAAGTCTTCCTGGATAGTGCATAGTCATGTAAATTATAATGCTTGTATGCAATGGAACTCTTGAGTAGCCAGGAAAAAGAATAAGGCAGATCTAAAGGTATTGTTTTGAACCAAATCTTGGCGGGAGGGGGGGGTGGGAGGGTGGGGGTGGCGGGATGTGAATTGTAGAAAATGCACATCATGCTCCAAACTGGGATGAGATCTGTCTATATTTTATTTCTGAAAGTCTTAATTCTCATAGAAAAAGACAGGTGGGGAGGTAAAATCAGGAACTTTTTCCAGAAAGTTTTGGACATGCAGATGTTTAGTCAAAAGATATGGAATGGCTTGGCTGTGCATCTGGCATTTTTCCAGGTGTTGAGGCTAATAGTAGTCATGAACACCTGGCCATCATCCCAGCATTATGAGGTTCGAATATAACAATTAGGTTATTGAGTGCTATGGAACAACAGCAACAATACACAGGAGGGGAAGGGGATGGGGGTACATCAGGGCAAGGAGCTTTAATACAGTTCAAACTCCACTAGGAATGTTAACATTGGAGTTCAATCTAAAACATGGGATAGTATGGAGTCACCTGTCAGGTGCTTTAAAAAAATGAGAGGCAAGAGCTTGGCATGGCCATTACAGTGTCTTCTGGGAAGCCTGTGTCTCACATCAGGGTATCTGGCTTTGAGTTCCAGCTCTGTTTTAGAGTCCAGCGCCCTGCTCATGTGAATGCTGGGCAGCAGCAGAAGATGGCTGTGGTGGTTGGGTCTCTGAGTTCCTGGCTCCTGGCTTCAACATGACTGACTCCAGCCCTAGCCCTGACTGTTGAGGCATTCGTGAAGTGAAATAGTGCATGGGAGATCTCTGTTTCTCTCTTTGCCTTTCAAACAAATAAAATTTAAAACCCAATAAACAAAAATGCAAGCAATTAAATGGATACTCCATATTGTCCTACCTTCAATTTAGGTGGCTTATTTAGAAAGTTCTACCACCCTGGTTGGTGGAATTCCCCCTGAATACCTCTGAGAATACTCCTCAGCTTCATGTCCACAAGCCCAGTTTTTCTGTGTCCCAAACCACACATACAACCTTTTCTAAGCACTTCGGTTGTGTAAAACGTGTTGCAGCTGCCAAGCAATCCAGTCAGGCCAGCAGCTCTGAGAGGTTAACTTTTTCATTCACTTATCCAGCAGATAAGAAATCAGACCAGAGGTAAAGGCTAAGTCACAGAGCCAAGGGAGCCACAAAAGTGTGTCTTTCAATATTTACTGCAAGTTGTTGAGAAGAGAGGTTGATGTAAGATCCTGAACTCTGAGCCGGCAGATAACTTCTCAGCCAGTCAACAGTGGCCGGGTGCTCAGGCCACCATCTCACAATGGCCATGTGACCAGGCCCCTTGGGGGATTTTCTCAAGCAAGTGGGGAAACTGGTCTCCTTGTCAAATCCACGAGGACTCAGCCAGCAGAGCAAGGAAACAGCATAAGCAAAGGGAGCTCTGTTAACAACACACATGAAGGGTCAGTATTATTTTTTTAAGCCATGAAAGGAAGGATTATTTGGCCATTTTTTCTAACATTAAACTCTCACATCTTTTTTTTTTTCCTAGCCCAATTGCTAGGCTGTATCCAAATTCTCTAATTGAACAATGAGTGACAGAGAAGGAAGGAAAGGCTTAGCTGTGGGACAAGATCCCTGGCCCACAAACAAGCAATCATATGCCATGAGTTGGTGATATGGTCACCGGTGGTATCCATGCCAAATTAAACCCCACCAGGAGAACTACAGGGACCACAGCTCTGGATGTTTGTGGGACATAGAAAGGCTTATTCTTGCCTTGGGTTTGGGTCTCAGTATCTTCTGATGGTGGGCAGCTCTGTGGGAACAGGGATCCCCAAATTGTAAGCATCTTTGATTGATGCCGTCCTAGCATCTAGACTTCCTTCTGTTTCGGCATCTGAGATGCAGGGATAGTCCTTGGTTACTGCATCACTTGTTCTTTCTGCTCACCCTTAGTGTAAACTCAGGGAAAGCCAGAGAGTGAGTGGAGTCTGCTGAAGGTCATGGAGGAGACACCAAGGGGACAGGACTGACTTAGGCTTCTCTTAGGAATGCCACCCCAAAGGGCTCACACCAGGCAGCAGCTGAGTGAGGTCAGGCTCACTAAGTGCATGAATGTGAACATCACAGCACAATGAAAGCACACTTAGACTTCCCACATGGCCAATGAGTTCCCTACACAGGCACAGGAGTTTGAGACTAGTGTCCTGTGGGATGCTTCCCAGGTTGGGCAAAACTTGGCAGACTAATGTGTTGGCAAGGGATATGTTTGCTCTCTGCACCTTCAGTTCACCTACTAGCTATCAAGAAGGCAAATGAAGATCTTGGATCTCTGTGTCTAGCCTGTGCCATATGTGATGAGGGACAGACAGACTATATAGCTCCTTCCCTCCAAAGATTTAACGGTCCAGACTAATATCACTGAATGATTTAGTGTGTGGAATGGGATTCTGAATTCAAAGAAGGGAGAAACCAGTGAGGACTGGAGGTCCTCCTTGATCCTTTTATTAGCAATAATCTCTTTTCCAGGGCCAATCAAGGATGATGATGCCAATGGCTAGTGAGAGTCCACCTAGGACCTCACCTTTCTCAGCAGTTACTTCTTTCCACTTTCTTCATGGACAGTCATTTTAGCACACTGGGTTGGGTGCATCAAAGTGGAAGGGAAGAATGTGGCTGGAGGCACCAACATGGGGTGAGTGGAATACTTGGGGCAGGGAAATGTTGCGGGGGGTGGGATGGAAAGAAAAGTTCCAAGAAAGTTGAATGACACAAGATTTGGGATGGGTGCAGACACTGTAGCACTACAGCACTGGAATCACTCCAAACACCAAGATCCTTGAAGTTAGACAAGTTTTGGCAAGTTGAACTGGACAATATTTAAGAAAAAAGCACTTATTAAGTCAAGTACTAAGGGCCTTTTAACTCATTTCATTAAGACACCGTAAGATAGCTGTCTATTAGGTGGAAGAGGATTCAGTCATAGGATGGTGCTGGGAAGATATAGTTTTAATCCACAACATTGCTTCAAATGATTTACAGTTCAGCATCCCTAAACTGGAAACCTTTGTGTTGATAAACACTCCCAAAGACTGCTGCTGACCAAGAGAATTATGAGGTCATTAGAGCCAATTCAGAAGTCCACTGGGTTTGATAAGAGGTCTGTAAAAAGATAGATGAAGCAAAGTACTAGATTCTCCTCACTCATGCAAGGATAATGAAGAGGTGATGTAACAGGTTGTGAAAGAGGCCTTCATGACCTGGTTCTTTGCAGAATCAGCCATTGTACTACCAGGCTTGACCAATGGCCAAGCATCACCAGATCTGAAGTGCAAGCAACAGGTTTTATTGCAAATCATTGACTTTTCAGGTATTAGAGCAATTTTTCCACTGATAGTTGCCTCTGGGTATAGTCAGCTAATAACCCTGGGTATCAGTGGCCCTCAGCTATACACAGAAGTGGCTATAGGCAGAGCTAGTAAACCCTACCTCAGAAGGATTCCATATGCAGAAACTCTGGTATGCTGTCAGGCGCCTAAGAAGTCCTCAGTTAAAACTAACTTCTTTCACCTCTTCCATTTATTTCCATTTTCAAGTTCTTGTTAGTATCAGACATTCTATCATGAGATGTTCCTAAAGAGAAGAGATGGCTGGTCTTGATCTTTGTACTATAGCTGGTTTCCCATTTACATGTGCAAGTCTTAACAGCTCCTCATTTCTATTTAAACAAAGCTATTTGGAGGGAACATGGTCTATCTCTGACCTAGCACCTCCAACCCTCACTTCCTCCCACAAACCACTCATGATCTCACAACTCTTAGAATGACACATGAAGACGGAGATGTACCATCAGCTCCTCCAAAGAGGGTTGATACCAGGCCTAATGTGCTGTCTGACCTCCCAAGCTCCCAAACTCATGTTTGTTTGTGCAAATAGCCTGAACTTGGAACACAGGGAATATCAGGCTCTGTACCAGGAGGAAGAGGAGTTTACGTCTGACCTCAGATGCACTGTGACCTAGAGAAGAAACAGATCAACAAATAAGATATTCACAGCAGATGTGGTGTGAGCCAAGATGACTGAGCTCACAAAGAGCGGGGCTACACTGGCCCTGCAGGATTCTGTCAGGCATGGAGCTGCTTCTGCTTGCACCTGGTGGTGCCCCACTTGCACCTGTTGGCTAGGCATATGTAATAAAAAAGTGTAAGGCTGCATTTTTGATCTCTAATCCAACTGCCAAATCTGGGTTTCAGAATGCAACCTGATTCAGAGACTGGGAGTATTTTTTTTTCTTTTCTGGTAAAATTCATTTAACATGAAGTTATTTTAGGACAACTGCACTTCACACATTCACAATGTTTTGTCACTAACACCTCTATATGATTCCATAACATTTTTATCACCCTAAAGGAAGCCTTGTACCCATTAAGCAGCCATTTCCCATTTCCCCCCTTCATAATCCTTGGAAAACACCAGTCTGCTTTCTGACTTTATGCAATTGAGTTGGAAGAACATTTCAAATAGAATTTCTATCAGTTTCTAATTCTTTGGCTTATGTACTACATTAGGACCAACAGAGATATTCCACGGGGAGTGGGCATTTGGTTGAGTGGTTGAGTCATGGCTTGGAATGCCTATATTTTGTCTTATTTTGTTGTGTCTGTCCTTCACTTCCAACCCAGATTCCTTAATGTGCACCCTCAAAAGTAGCAGGTACTTGGGTCCCTGTAAGGTATGTGAGAGTCCATAGAAAGTTCCTGGTTCCTGGTTTTGGCCTGGTCCAGCCCTCACTGTAACGGGTATTTGTGGGAGTAAATTAGCAGATGGAATCTCTGTCTGTGCCTGTCTTTGTCCCCCTGCCTTCTAAAGAAAAGTAAAAATTTAAAGAGAGAATTCAGTGAAATATAGTGGTTACATTTGTGGCTCTGGAAAAACGTCAACCTGGCAGCATGAAAATAAGTGAATTCCCTTGTGGGTCACCATCCATGAAAAATGCTTTTACAGATTACGCTTTTTAGGGAATTTGAAGAAAAAAAAAAAACTAAACCTCACATGTGGTTGGGTAGACAGGGCTCTGCTTAATGGTTGCTGCCTTGTGGCCTTGGGCTGGTGCTATAACTCTCCTGAATCTACACTGTTAGCTGTAAAAGAGTGAAACACCCCTCCAAAGACTGCCTTAAGAGACCTACTGTGTGCTGGTACTGGATGGGGTTCATCTTCCTTCTCTCTTTCCTTGGCCTGTGACCTCTTTTGTTACCCCCGTGGCTCCACTATGCCAATAATGCTTAGGAACGAACGGCACACCCTCCAGAAGACTGGGAGAAAAGACTCTCTTAGATCAGAATCTAGCCAAATGCTTGGCTGAGACATTGTCTGGTCCTAGAAGTGCTATTTGAAAAGTAGTTGAATTCAGGGCTAGTGCCATGACATAGCAAGCTAAGCCTCTGCCTGTGGTGCTGGCATCCCATATGGGCCCTGGGTTGTTTCCCAGCTGCTCCACTTCCAATTCAGCAGAGGATGGTTCAAATCCTTGGGCCTCTACATCCATGTGAGAGACCCAGAAGAAGCTCCTGATTCCTGGCTATGGATCAGGCCAGCTCTGACCATTGTGGCCATATGAGGAGTGAACCAGCACATGAAAGAGTTTCCCTTTCTGTAACTTGGCTTTTCATATAAAAATAAAATCTGAAAAAAGAGTTGAATTTGACATTTTGATCTTGAGTCTGACTCCCTTAGAGTTTTTCCAGAATCTTCGTGACCAATGTATTTTTATATACCCTGTATTACATGCTTTATTTATATAATTTATGATCTACAGGACACACTTAAATTATAAGCACCTGCATTTCTGATTTTTGTTTTGTCTATGCCTTAGTTGCTTGTATTATGTCTAGCATGCCAGCAATACCCACAAAGTTTAAGTCACACATTGCTCTTCCAAGATACTTGCTTTGTGCCCCTCAAATACCTATCAGTTAGAGGAGACCACCACTCCATGCTAGAATACTGAGGAAGAGATCCAGAAAAAAACAGAGTCAGCTCTTGCCGTCCACAGGTTCCACACCCATGGATTCATTCAGCTGTGGATTAAAAGTATTTGAAAACAGCGTGGAAGCTGTATAGCCTTTTCTCTGTTGCCGTCACTCCTTTAACAGTGTACTGTAACTGCTACTGAATAGTGTTTGTATTGTTTCGGGTGTTATTATTAATCCAGAGGTTATTTTAAGTTTGTAGGAAGAGGTATGTAATGCTATCTAGATTTATTCAAACAACTTAAAAATCCATGGATGTTGGCATCCTCAGGGGATCTTGGAACCAGCTTCCCCATGATACTGAGTGGCAGGTGGTACTCCTCAATTACTTTTTAAATGAAAATCGGTGTTTAACGTCATTTTTTAAAAAAACAATACTTGTGCCCCTACAACAGAACATTAACCCCCTACAGGTCAGAGCTATAGACTCTATCCTACCTTTCAGGCCACCAGAAAGGGTTAACACAGTGACTAGCCATTTCTAACACACCCAGGTTCCCTCAGAAACCATCCCACCAGTCTGTCCCTTGAGCAGCCTCAGCAGCCAGCTCTCGCCACATGCAGCCAACATGAAGATGAAAGGAAGCCCCACTCAATGCAGGGGACATGAGCCCACAAACAGGGGCCACGGTGAAGCTCACCTCCAGAAAAGGGGAGAGGAGCAGCTCCATCTGTACCCCCACTATCCTCCTCTCCCTTACCTCCCCGGACACCACAGGTTTAAAGTGGCCCCTAAAGAGAGCAGGGTATGAAGTGCAGAGGGGACGCAACCAGCTTGAGATTCCAAGCTTCTTTGATTACACTGGGGTGTTTAGAGCCCCTCCCCTGCCCCGGGTTCCAGTCAGAGGTTCACAAGACCCCTAAAAGTTGAGAATATCCCCAATCCTGTTGAGAACATCCCCTTACCCTGTGGTGGGTGAATCACTTGGTGTTTCCAGCAAATGAGGCTTCCTACCTCCGCGTTTCTCCAGGCACACAAGTCCCTGGCACGCTCCAGGGACCGGGTGGCTTCGGAGCATCCATGCAGGCAGAACACGCGGGCTCAGGGAGTCCCCGGCCCTGCCCTGCTCTGAGCTGTGCCGAGCCACGCCATGCCTGAGCTTTCTAGCGTGCTCGTGCGCGGGGACTTCACTTCCTGGTTTTTCTTTCACAACTGAAAGTGGAAGCGTTCTGATCAGGAGAGGAGCGGTCAGAGCCGTCCCGGCCAGAGCCTTCCTGGCTTGTGTTCAAAGCCTTTCACCCCGACCCCCGGGGGCTGAAACAGCAGGCGGCTTGCATCAGAGAAACCCTCCCATCCTCCTGCAGCTGACCACCTCCAAACCTTCACCAGAAACCAGACTTAAACGACCCAGCCCCCCCCACCCCCCCTCCGCCCCGCAGGCCACCGATGTCCAAGAAGCAGGGATGATGAGGCTGCTGTCTGCTGGTTCCAGGACGGGGCTCCCCAGCGCCTAGCTCCATCACAGGCGCCTCTTCTCTTCCCATCCCTCCTTCTGAGCTGACTGTCTCAGTCCCCAAAGCACATCTGACAAAGTCAACAAAACAAATGAGCAGGGCAAGAATGCCTGGGACAGCCAGTCATTGAGCACACATGGTGACCCCTTGGCACAGCCCTCGCCTCCATGCCTCTGGCCTCCTTGCACCCTGCAGCCACACCAGGACCTGTAGCAGTCTCATTCGAACCACCTTCTCTAGGCAGCTGCCATGCTCTCACTTAGAAGCAAAAATAGCAAGTGCTACTGGTGCTCCCCATGCCCGGTGCTCACAGACACCACCTGGAATGGAGCAGCGCCTGTCTCAGCCTCCAACCTTTGGCCTCTGAGCTTCTCACCAGCCTCTTAAAGTACAATTAGAAACGAAAGCCAGACACAAGTTTAGAAAAGCCCTGCCCATACTCTATCCTCCCATCCTAAAGATGGTGAGTTGTACCTTGAATTCCCTAGGGGGTGATCCCTGGGCACTATGGGATCTCCTACTGGGGGCAAATGAAAGAAGAGAGCTCATCTCCCAGCTCATCTCCTGCCTGCAGAAATGTTTGGCTTCTGCCTCATTTCAGAAGCTCAGCTTTCTCCGGGGCACAATGCAAGATGGCAGAGTGGACGTGGGGCCACAGTCCCTCTGACACCACTGGGTAGGCATGTTTTCCCGGCCAGGCAAGGGCTCCGGGCCAGGAGATGCTGAGGCTTTATTTAGCTATTTGTTTTTATTGGTTTTCTCCGGGACTGAGAGATGCAGCATCCCATGAGAGTTGTATTCCTGCTACCCCTGTGAGCACATGAGTGACACCCCCAAGATTTCAGGAACTAACAGAAGGCTTGGCAACACCCAGGAACTCCACCTAATGAATCACGCTGCAGGGATAGACCCATCAGGACTAGACACAACACTTCCTAATGGCTCAGTTCGGGCCATACTGTTTAACAGTTCAAACACACACTGTTGATCCATAAAATACGAATGGCATTTATCTTACAGGAGGCAGCGAGCCAAAGTAACCCACAGCATGGCCCTTGTTCAGTCCCCAGCACCACCTCATAAAATGTCTTCTGCAAGCTGGCTTCCCCTCTCGCTTCCGAATGGGAGTGTCTGCCTATGCAGCAAGCCAGTGGCCCTTCTTTGCACTGGGCCGTTTCTGAATGGAAGAGGGAGGGGACACACGCCCTAGCTTTTTCTTGAACCTTGAGCAGTTTTCAGCATGTGTCCTTGCATTTGGTGGATTTAACATCCTCTCCTAATTGCAACTGCTTGTACCATTTAGGCGTTTCAGAGGTCCCTCGCTGTTCCCCAGCTGAGAGTTCCACTGACTCCCACTCAAGTCAGCCAAGATTACTACTGAATCAACTGCAATTTCATATGCTAAGATTGCCACAGGCTGAGACCAACAGGCATCCCACCTTCTTCCCCTCCACACCATCTCCATCCACAGCTCATAGATACGCTACAGAGCAGGCAACAGGAATGCAACTCACCTTGGGGAGAAAGCTCTCACTTCCTAGGGCTGGGAAAGGCTCCCTTCGCAGCTGACTGTATGGGCACTCTGCTGCCCCTGCCCTTTCCCCAGCTTCTGGGACTGGGCCACTGTGCAGCATCAGGAGAGTGCCCAATAAGCTTCTCTGAAAACTTTGAACCTGTTGCAATAAAGGTTCAAAGGTAGAAGTTACCTGTTCAAACACTCATCGTAACCTCTGACAGTAAGAAGTGCAGAATTTGGCAAAAGGTCAGAACAAGAGATTGTTATGCAATGAGATTAAGAGGAAAGAAAAAAAAAAAAAAGACAGGCCTTGGCTTAGACAGTAAACATTTAACAAGAGAAACCTTTTATAAAGCCCAAAGCTCCAGGGAAAGCTAAGGGGGTGATAGGGCTATTCGTCTGCATTTTTGGCATGGTCCTGGAGATTGTGATAGAGAGAGAAGGTCCAGATAACAAGAGTGAAAAAGTGTACCTGAGGTTTGGGGAGAGAGGAAAATAAAGTTATGCTGACTGGTTGTAATTTTAAGAGTCGGCCAAAACAGAGGTCTGCATTTATAGAGCAGGTTTCTGCTAGATGGGGCCAAAGTTCTCTCCAGAATGAGATGTCTTCCAGGACAACCAACGAAGCTGACTGGTTTAAACCCTGTAGTGTTGACAGAGGAGCAAGCCTTAAATGGGGTGTGTTTTGAATGCAGAACCACGGGTACAGCCTACACCACCCACGTCCTAGCAGGGCACCTGGTTCACTGCCTGGCCCATTTCACTCTGTTCATTTTGAAGTTAGCCCCAGCATGTGTGATTCCAAACTGGGAAGACTACAAGGTATCCTTCTAAAGAGAAATGATGGAGAGAGATGAGGCCTAGGAGGCTCTGTGCATCTGCTATTTGTTAGGTGAAGTCCTCGAGACATTTCTCTGGTGGAAGATAGCACCTAAATCACACAGCCAGGCACAGCCACAGACAACCATTTTAGTGCCTTTGTCCCTTTGCAGGGCTATCGTAGTGGTTAGTGAATGCTGGTCATCAGTGAACTTGGATCTCAGAAAACTTGGCTACCTGACTTAGAGAATTGCAGGCAAGTGCTGCCTGGTCCTTTTCTTACTGAATTTGGCTAGCTGGCTAAGATCAATTGCTGCTGACTGCTGCTGGTGGAGTAACTAGCACTTGAACACAGAGATCTTCTGAGGTCAAATTCTCTTCCAAGTCTGACGTATTGACTCCTCAAGGTCATTTCTTGCTGGCAGGACCCTAGTCCATCATTACTGTCTTTAAGAAAAGGGCTTCTAAGAGGTAGCTAAAGAAAATACAGTTCAGTGAGAGCTGGGAGAATGAGTACTACTTGATTGGACCAATGGTAGGTTGTGTTAGTTAGTAATCGACTGAACACCTGCTGATACCATATCACCAGAAAAAGAAGTTCCATGCCAGTGATACTCAAACCACTATAAATGTCAAGTTCCCTGGAGGGCTGGTTATAATATCATTTACTGGTCTCATTTCAGAGTTTCTGAGTCAGTAGGTTTGAGTTCGGGCTCAAGAGTCTGCATTTTCTGACAGTTCAAGGTGATATAGATGCTTCTGGTCTAGGGTCCACATTGGGACCATACTTGGAGCTTCCTGCTTCACACAACCATCCTGATTTCAAATGCCCCAACTACTGAGGCATCAAAAGGGGTTTAGAGGTGAGGGATGGATTTGGCCTAGCAGTTAAGAGAGCACTGGGGATACTTACATCCTACATCAAAGTACCTGAGTTCAAGAACAATGGTTCTGTTGCCAGTGCAGACCCTGTGGCGGGGGGGTGTTGGGGGGCACCAGTGATGGCTCAAGTGGTTGTTTCCTTGCTACCCATGTGGAAAAACTGATTAAGTTCCTGCCTCCCAGCTTTAGCCTGGCCCAGCCCTGGGTGTTGTGGACATATAGGAAGTGAATTAATGCATGGGAGCCCTGCCTGTTTCTATGACTTTTGAAAAAACAAACAAGAAAAGAGAAAAAAGCCGGGGGAGGGGGGCGTGGTGCTGTGTCTTTGACAGCCTTCACTACAGCATCCTACAGTTGGGAGGACAACCTGATGCAAATGAAACTTACTGTGTGATCAAAGACAGATAGATATGTTATTCAAGGCCAGACAGCAGGTCAAACTCAGAGAAGAATTTCAGCAACAACAGCTGGAGGTATTGCCACTCACTGCTCTGCTCCTCCTTCAGATATCTGTGTATTAAAGCCACACACTATCGCAAATATACAGCCATGTGAGCATAAGTGTGGGTGTGTAGAGGACATCACTCAATCCAGTAACTTCCATTTTATTCATGAGACTACTCGGGACGTAGAAGGGTAAAATAGCTGACTGAGGCAACATAGGGACTGGATGAGAGGCCTGGGTGAAGAAACCTGCATTCTAGTGCCGTGACTGGCTCTATCATGCCTGGATAAACCTTGTCTTCATTCTAGATACACCTGCCCTCCTTCTCCACTTCCAGATATATACATTTGGAATCCAATCAAGAGAAAAATTTCTTCTACTGGGAATGTCTTGAAGCCCCTGAAAAGTGCAAACCTTCATTTTCAGGGCATTCATCATTGAGATGCCCATGGTGTGGGGCCACAATTCGGACCTCCTTGCACACCCGCTGCTCTAATAGTTTGTAAACTCTTCCCCTTCTTTTTCTAAAGACAAAGGAACAACACCTCTGGTATCCTACAGTTCTAGAATACCAAACATTAGTGTTCCAGAGTCTTGCAACAAAGCATGAAAGCAGCCAAGACACTGTTAGGTAGGAAGATAGAAATGAGTCCAAGTGTGTGAAAGGCAGCTGAGGAAAACAAAGCAGCCCTAGGAAGGAATGAGGCAGCCTTGGAGGCAGCATGGCACTTCACACTACAAGGTCCTGCTCATACCCCAGTAGCATTATAGCTCTTCCCAAGTTAACCCCCAAGGAAAGCACCCCAGGAGAATCTTCTCTGCCCAGTGCCAAGAGGGCTACCCAGTCTGATGATGCTGGGTAATGAAACATTGGAAGGGCTTTTACCTATTTCACACCCAGGAAGTCCTTTATACATAACAGGGTAGACATAGGAGGAGAACGAGTGGGAAGTACTGGACCTCATTCCTTTAAAAGGCCCAATAAAAACATATTGTATTCAAACATCTCTGTTCTTTGCTGAGATGCCCATCTGGCCAGTCAGATATGTTCTCTTTGTTAA